ACTTCGCTCACGATCACGATTGATATATTGTCGTTGATGTGGGTTTTCCTCTATGGCAGATAATACTCCATGAATAAAATTGAACATTTCTTGAGTTTGTTTCTCCATGCGAATAGAAATAAGTTCTTCCTCTGAAGAAGAGGATGGGGATGAAGAACTAGATTTAGTGTATGGAAGTTCATTTGAAGGAAGCCATCCAGATGAATAAGCCATATTTGAGATAAGATATGGTGTCTATATTATTGTGCAGAAACACATGATTTATAAAAAATGAATAGAGAAAATAATTGAAGGAATCATCCAAATTTCAGAAGCACCACAAAATTGGAATTGAGAAAATCAAGATAACAATTCACATGTCTTGTTGAGAAAACAAGACAAATAATTGAGTTCTACATCAGTAAAACTCACGGGTCTCCTATGCAAACTTTAATTATAAAATTATTATAGTACAAAAAATCTATAAGCCTATCCATAAATATTTGGTGGGAAAATATGTCCGAACAATTATAAAGTGTGTCGGAAAAATCTATCCACAAAATACTATCAGTAACTTTTAGTTTTACAGTACTATAAATATTAGTTTTACGTTTATGTAGTAACTCATCTCTTCAGTTTACATTTACAATATAAAGTTTGTCACTATACTATGAATCCATTTTTTCCCTTTGATTGTGATATTAATCTTGGATATAGCTCTTCACCACCTACATAAAACGAGTCTCAAACATTTCCACAACAGTTTCCATACAAACAACATTTCAATCCTTATTCCAATCCACAATCCCAACCATTTCCACATTTACTTCAATCCATACATGTTTGCGGGTCCATATGAAATCCCAAGTCAACAACAATCACAAAGTACTAGCAAATCACGTAAAAAGAAAATTCAAGGATGAAATCCGAACTCAAATATGCCTAAAGACGAAGCATTATGTAAGGTTTGGTTAAGTATTTCAGAAGATGCAGAAGTTGGTACATACCAGCAGAAAGGTAAGTTGTGGGAGAGAATTAGAGTGGAAGTTATAAAAAAAATTAAACAAACATTCCGGTAGGAATATTTCAGGACTAATGCATGGGTGGGCAACTATTCAATATAGAATCTCCGAGTTTTCTTCATATGTTAGATTCATAGATGTATCTTTTATAAATAAATATATATATATATATATATATATATATATATATATATATATATATATATATATATATATATATATATATATATTGTAGTACAATATTTTCCGTCAATCATTGATATATTTTTTTCTCCTTTTTCTTTTATAGATGACTGCAGTGGAACTACTATATAATAATAAAGAACATCATCAATTTAAGTGGGAGAGTTGTTGGAATATTCTTAAAGACACTCCCAAATGGTATGATCTATCATTGCACAAAAGGCTAAGCAGAAAAAAGGTCTAAAAAAAAAAGGACCCAAATTGATTTGGATGATAAAGAAATTGGAGATTCGTCAAATGGACAAACTCCGTCAACTGATCAATCGACTCCAAGTACAACTCCAACCTCACCTAGCTATGAAAATTATGATCCGGGATGGCTCAGTTGGACTACCACGTCCTACTGGTCGCAAAACTACACAAAAATCTAGAAGGAAGAAAAATCTCACTTCCCTCGATTTATTTGTGGAAGGGTTTTCTAATATGAGAGAAGAACAATCAAGCCGCTTTGAGGAGGAGGGTGTTAGAAGAAATACAATAGAACAACAAAAAATACAAGCTAAAATTGAAGCAAAGAGAATGGCAATTGCAACACAACAAAGAACACCGACAAAAGCAATACGAGAAAGAAATAATGATGATGGATCCGAGTCAGCACCTACAAATGCAAGTAAAGCTTGGATTCTTAAACAACAAATAGAGATCTTAAATCGTACAAGAGAAAATATTCATAAATTGTAGGGAGTATAATAACTGTCTACAAGATTTTTCTTAAATCTATTATGCCTATAGTTGGAAGGATGTTCCAACAATCTTTGTCAAACTTATTATAATTCATGTTGTACTTGTGTTAAATTTATGTATACTTTTGTATTAACATAAATATTTATGATTAGAAAAAAATAATGCATCTTAGATAAAATTATTAATAACTCAGATAACATATTATTTAAATTTAAATTGATAAAGTATCTTTTAAAAATATTAAAATTAAGTATAAAAAATTATTAAAAATATAATATTTAATTAATGAATATGTTATTATAATTTTAATATATGAGGATAATTTTTAGGGAATACTAATGTGCACTACTAGAGCAGCTTTTATTTTTTTGGGATATAAGTAGGTTATGTTTTTTGGGGATTGGATAAATTGATGATGTGTCATATGGGTCCCACTATTTAGGGGTGGTTTTGGGGTAAATGATTAGAGATGCTCTGATGGCTCTTTTGGTTGAGTGGGTTGGATATATAGCTAGGGATGAGATATAAAGTATCGGGACTAAAATGTTGATGAATAATAACAGTCATAACTTTTGGTTGGTGGTATTATCATGAAACTAATAATCTCTTGATGAACAATTTGATGTTTTGTATGCTTGATTTTACAGTATTATATGGTTTTATTTGAACAATGACTGAAATGCCCTTAAATTCAAGTACATAACAAAATAACTTACAAATAGTTAATTGTGTAGTCAAGCTCAGGCCTCGGGTAATCGATGCAAACAGCCTACTCAAACAAAACTACACTAGCCCAATTTTCTTCGATTACTGTAAATACATAAACAAACTTCTAAACACTTGTACGGAACATTCTACAAGGGAGAAAAAAAAAAAGAAGAAAAAAAATGAAAAAATATACTTTCAAAGGACATGCGCACCTTCTATATTTCGTTGTAACTGCATTTGCAGATTGAAGCCTTAACTTATGGCCCATGGCTTCACCGACTGGAACTGATATACTATTTATTTGACCAAAAGTGACATGTTGTATGTTATATGTTTTTCAAGTAGATCGCAGAAACGTGTCTAAATTCAGTAAATTAGGACATCTTCTAAATTTAGGATTTTCTTCCCACTAATTATAGTCACACTTCGAAAACTCCAGCAAGGCAGCAACTGCAATTTTTCGAAATAGAAAAATAGTGATTACAATTCAATGTGTATATATATATATCAAAAAATATCATAAATTAATACCTCAAGTTATCCTTTGAGCAAAGTAAAACTACTCCAACCTGCAAAACTGAACAAAATCAAACAAGAAATTATTAATTAGAGACCCATTTACACACACACACACACACACACAGAGTAATCACATGGCATATAAATGGATATGAAATGTAGCCAAAAAAAATTGAAGATGAAAAAACCTCTGGATTTGTCTAGGGCCTGCTGCTGCACACAAAAATTGATAAAATAAAATAAAACAAACTGGAAATGAAGAAAAACTCATAAAGTAAGAGATAACAAGGCTATAATACATACATGATACATAATACAACACATGCACATATAGTCTGTACGGACAAAAAATTAAATCCCACCATACTTGCCAATTAACACTTGACATGTGTAGTAATGATAAAAAAAAATCATGCTCTCCATACTTCCATACAACTCTACAGATATTGTTGAAGAATAAATAAACAAAATCTCATGAATTCATTTCCTCAACTGGATAGAGTTACTTCATTTCTCCATTCATCATATTTAACAACAACAAAAATACCGGAAAAAAAAACCCAAAAAGTCAAAGCAAAACCCAACAATTAAAAAAAAATCATAAATTAACAACTTCAGCCATTCCCTATTCAAAAAGCCCTAGCATCTAACATACAATCACCCTTAACAATTCTTCATTATAAATTTTATGTCAAAAAACACATTTTTTATCAAATGAATTGCATCGGGAAAACAAAATTCGAAGTAACTTCATCATATAAGACCATCTCCAATGGACATGGGGTGGGTAGGGGTGGGGAGACAAAACCACCTCCAATGGAAGTGGGTAATGGGGGGTGTGTATGGCTTGGGTATGAGTGGGGAGAAGGGGAGGGGGACTTTAGCTTGAGCTGCCCCCTTCCAACTCACCTGCTGGAAGGGGGCGTGTGTTTACTCGCCCATTTACCTTTTTCTTTTTCTTTTTTTTTTCTTTTTTCTTTGTTATACGATTGTATCTTTTTCTTCTTTTTTTCTGTTTTTTTATTTTCTCTTTTTTACATGTCAAATTTGTTTATTTTTATTTCTTTTTCTTTTGTATTTATTTTTTATTATATCATTATTTTATTTTATTTCATTTATTTAGTTACATAATTTAATATCACAGAATTTCAATAAAATCAACATTTTGTAAATAAATACTTTAATTTTTTTTTCATTTCTTTCTTTTATTTTATTATTTCTTTTTAAATTATATCTTTATTCGTAATTTTATTATTATTATTTTATTTTGTTTCTTTATTTGGTTTTATTTTATTTTATTTTTTAATTAATTTCTTTTATAATTGTAAAACTTAGAAAAACAACAAATACGATTATTTTACTTTTTATTATAAATTTGAAATAACAACATAATTTTAATAAAACAAAACACTTAATTCGTAAATAAAAACTTAAGTAAAATTATTAGATATTTCCATTGTGTCTTGCCCACACATGAGCTATTAAATCACGCTGAAGGTTACGATTTACTTCAACCGATCGCATTGTGTGACGACGTCTCATATAATCACTTATGGATATGCCGCTTGTTCTTGGGTTTAAATCTTATTCCTCATTTCTATCATAACTGTTGGCACGAGCTCTGCGAGATGTGGCTGGGTTGTTGTCATCGTCATCTGACTCAGCATCAGCGTATTCATCTCGTTGGTCTTCCACGATCATATTATGGAGTACAATACATGTCATCATAATATTTCTCAGGTCCTTCAGATTCCACCCTCTCCCAGGTTGCTTCACTATAGCAAATCGGGCTTGAAGAATTCCAAAAGCTCGTTCAACATCCTTGCGGTATGCTTCTTGCATTTTTTAGAACAACTGTTTTTGATGTGTTCTCGGCTGCTTAATGGATTGCCTTAACGTACCCCATTTCGGGTATATGCCATCAGCAAGATAGTATGCCATGTAGTGATCTTTTTCATTTACCTGACAGTGAACTCTTGGGGAAATTCCCTGAACAAGGTTGTCGAACAAGGGTGAACGACCCAAGATAGTGATATCGTTTTGTGAATCGGGTACGCCAAAGAATGCATGCCATATCCAAGTGTCAGATGAAGCCACTACTTCGAGAAAAATTGTGGGTTTATGTTTTCTTCCCGAAAAGCTCCCCTGCCATGCAGTTGGACAATTTTTCCATGTCCAGTGCATACAGTCTAGTGAACCGATCATTCCTGGGAACCCGCGTCGTTCCGCTTTGTCGAGTAGCCTTGTCATATCTGCGTTTGTCGGAGCACAAAGATACTCATCTTTATACAACCACAATATTGTTTTGCAAAATTCGCGCAAGGTCTCGGTTGCGGTTGTCTCTGCCATATGGAAAGTTTCGTCAATTGAGCGGAGTATGCGTAAGCCAACATTCGCATAGCAACTGTAACCTTTTGGAGTGATGAGAATCCAAATTTCTGGGCCCTATCAAGTTTTCTTTGAAAATATGGATTCGAGCGCTCGCAATACTCAACCAAACGTAATAGTAAATGACGTTTCATTCGGAACCGGCGTCTGAAATCATCTGCATCAAAAATAGGATTGTCAACGAAGTAATCATTCATGAGTTGTTTGTCTTTACCTTTTCGGTCGCGAGGTTTATATTTGCGTCCAGGAACAGAGCCATCGTGTACAACCTCTTGATTAACGGCTGCTTCATAGTGTAGACGAGCAAGTGTATCTGCTTCGTTGTCTTCTTCAAGTATTTGCTCATTATACGCAACCCAATCGAATTGATTAGAACTCGAACCATAATTCATTATTGAAATATTTTGCTCGTAAAATGATTAAATGGATATATTGATGATGAACTATTTTATTGATTGAAACACATTTAAATAGGGAAGACAAGACATTAAATAAAATTAAGAGAACATCTACATAACTTAATTGAGAGATATATGGTGTTGACAACGACTATACAAACTTGATAGTGACTATACAAACTTTTGAATTGAAATTTTACTTTTTTCTTTTGCAAATATTCTTTTGCAGACAATATCTACATGACTTAATTGAGAGATGGTGTTGACAACGACTATACAAACTTGATAGTGACTATACAAACTTTTGAATTGAAATTTTACTTTTTCTTTTGCAGATTTTACTTTTGCAGACAACATCTACATGACTTAATGGAGAGATGGTGTTGACAACGACTATACAAACTTGATAGTGACTATACAAACTTGACTTAATTGAGAGATGATTTCTCTATATAATGAGAACGGATATGTTAGACAATAATTCACACCTCCACACCTACACTTATTTAAGAAAGATATCTATTTTTTATATGGCTCCCAATAAAGGTTGGTCAGAAGATGAAGATGTAGCTCTTACGAAAGCCTACATTGCGGTCTCAGAGGATCCAATTCACGGGACTAACCAAACTGAAGGAGGTCTGTGGAAGAAGGTTATGTCTACTATAAAATAAATTCTTGATGAGGAGGGGATTGCGTATAATATTAGAACAAAAGATGTCGTACTTAGTCAGTGGAGAAAACAAATTTCTAAGTATTTGAACCACTGGTATTCGGCAACTAAAGAAGCATCAAGTGTTTGCGGTAGCGGAGGAGACCTGGTCGATGAGGTAAATGTTATGATAATAGTATTTTGTATTATTTATATATTTACATGAAGTATATTAATTTTTAATTTGTATTTTTGTAGTATACTCTGGCATTGAGTATCTATCGAAGAAATGCTTAAAAATCTTTCAACTTGCAACGTTGTTGTGAAGTTGGTAAGGATTGGGTGATGCTAAATGCGCAAGAAGATATGGTGGATGAAATTGAAACGGAGTTATTTCTTTCGCAGTCCACATTTCCTTCATCTCAACGAATGAATTCCCGACCAAGTTATTCTCCACCACCGTATGTTTTACGGGATGAGCTACCACCAGTGGATACACATACTGACCAACGTAGTAAGAGACCTATCGGATCGAAAAAAACCCGTAAATGCAAAGAAAAGGCGTCGCCCAGTTCTAATGCAGAATCTAATTATAATAATCAAGTAGAAATAATAGAGGCCGGACGAAAGCTTAGGGCATGATCAAAACATTGCAATCCAAAATGCAATTAGAACACAGAGTTATGGCAATGGATACAAGTGATTGCACTCCAGGTACAAAAGCATATTGGAAGTCGAAAAGAAAAGAGATACAAAGGAAACAAATCGCAAAAGACTTATTTGAAAGTTCTTCAGCCCATTTAGACGACGACGGATTTAATCCGTTTGATTGATCTCCCTTGTTTGATTTATATGGGTACTCTTTTCCTTGTGTCGGCCCACAAGGTTTTTGACGAGGCCCATTCGTTATTTCATAAATATAAATTGAACAACAACTTTTTGGCCAAAAAAAGAAAAAAAAAAAGAAAAACAATTTAACCAAAAACAATTCCTTGTTCAATTAATTATTATTTTTTGTTTGTAGTATTCGTTATTATCCTAGTTGTTTTCGGATTCTTGTTTAATTATTCGGTTTTATCCTTGTTGTTTTTCAAATGTTGTATTAGTGGTTATTATTCTTGTTTTTTTTTTTCAATTATTGAATTAGTTAAAAATCATTTCTTTACTTTTATTTGAATATTGTATTATTATAATTAAATTATTATTATTATTATTATTATTATTATTATTATTATTATTATTATTATTATTATTATTATTATTATTATTATTATTATTATTATTATTATTATTATTATTATTATTATTATTATTATTATTATTATTATTATTATTATTATTATTATTATTATTATTATTATCATCATTATTATTATTATTATTATCATCATTATTATTATTTTTATTATTAATTATTATTAGTAATAATAATTATTATTCATTATTAGTTATTATTATTATTATTATTATTATTATTATTATTATTATTATTATTATTATTATTATTATTATTATTATTATTATTATTATTATTATTATTGTTGTTGTTGTAGTTGTTATTATTATTATTTTTTTATTATTATACTGGTGAGAGTGAGAATTGGAAAAAAAGTAATATAACACCGAACGGTTGGCAACGATGTAGGTAGATGGAAGGGGAGGGGGATGAGGAGGGGAGGAGGAGGGGAGGGGAAAACCCCTCTCTTCATTGGAGATGCTCGGCATCTCCTATGTGTTGGAGGAGGGGGTGGGGTGGGGGAGGGGCTGATATGTTTAATGAGTAGGGGTGGGGGCTAGGGTGAGGCTAGGGTGGGGGGTTGGGGTGGCTGGGGGTGTCATTTGAGCCCAGGGAGAAGCCCTGGGCTCTCACTCTCCGGTGCCTCACGTGTGTTTCACGTATGAGACTTTTGTTCTACTTATTTATTTATTTATTTATTTTTCTTCCACATTAGTATTTTCTTTTTTATTTTTTTTTTCTTTTGTTTCTTTGTATATTTTCTTTCTTTATTTTAATTCTTTTTTTTCCTTTTTTTTCTTTCTTTTTTCTTTATTTATTTTCATTTTATTATTAATTTCTTTTATTTTACTTTAGTTTTCTCGTCTTTTTCTCTAATTCGACCTTTTTAATTTAAAATAGTAATTTTATTGTAAGTATTCTATTAATTATATTAACATTACGTGTTATTATATTACAAAGCATAGTTAAAAAATGAAAATATAATAAATAACTTAATAATAGCACAGTATAATTTAAAAAATCAAATACTCAAATTTATAGGTAAACACTTAAATAAAACTTACATAAATTTATAATTAAACACTTAAGTATACTTATGACATATTTTGACCATGTGTTGTCCACACATGAGCAATTAAGTCGCGCCTAATCTTTCGATTTGCTTCTACCGATCTTATTGAATGACGACGAATCATATAATCATCCAGGGATAGGTTTCTTGTTCTTGGATTCAAATCCAATTCTTCATGTATATCATAACTGGCAGCACGAGCCCTACGAGACGTGGCGGGATTATTGTCTTCCTCATCTGACTCATTATCAGCGTATCCATCACGTTCGTCCTCTAAAATCATATTGTGAAGTATGATACATGTCATCATAATATTATTTAGGTCCGTCGGATTCCATCCCCTCCCGGGCTGCTTCACTATTGCAAAACGTGCTTGCAGAATTCCAAAAGCTCGTTCGACATCCTTGCGATATGCTTCTTGTTTTTTTGAAAAAAAATGTTCTTAATACGTCCTTGGTTGCTTAATGGATTGGACTAACGTACCCCATTTAGGATATATACCATCTGCAAGATAATAAGTCATATAGTGATTATTACCATTTACCTGATAGTGAACTCTTGGAGACTTTCCACTAGTGAGGTCATCAAATAAAGGTGAACGACCAAGGATAGTGAGATCGTTTTTGGGCACTGGGCACACCAAAAAAGGCATGCCATATCCAAGTGTCAGCTGAAAGCCACTGCTTCAAGAATAATCGTGGGTTTATGTTTTCTTCCGGTAAAGCTCCCTTGCCAAGATGTTGGACAGTATTTCCAGGTCCAGTGCATACAATCCAACGAGCCGATCATTCCAGGGAATCCACGTCGTTCCGCTCTATCAAGAAGTCTTGCAAGATCTGCTTTCGTTGGAGCACGAAGGTACTCCTTTTCGTACAATTGCAAAATTGTTATGCAAAATTTGCGCAAGGTCTCGGTCACTATGGTCTCTCCCATTGCAAAAATTTCGTCAATCGCATCAGCGGAGTACGCATAAGCCAACATGCGCATAGCAACTGTGACCTTATGGATGGGTGAAAATCCAAGTTTACACTTTCTATCAAGTTTTTGTTAAAAGAATGTATTTGAGCGCTCACATGCCTCAACCAAACGTAAAAATAGTGGTCGATTCATCCGAAATCGGCGTCGAAAGTCACCTGCATCATAAATAAGGTTTGGAAAAAAGTAGTCAGCCATAACTTGGTCGTGCTTACATTTTCGATTGCGAACCTTATATTTGCGTGTTGAAACTGAACCACCTCGTACAATCTCAGCAGGATCTGGAGCAAAGTATTGATGAGCAATTGCGTTCTGCATATTAAATTCGTTTTCTGATTCATTTTGTTCTTCATCCATCTGCTTATGAAATGCATAAAAAATAGAACTAGAACCAGAACCAGAACCATAATTCATAATTATAATATGTATTTTGTTGTTGAAACTATTTCTCTGTAATGAAGTTTAGTTTCACTACACTGAAACTTAAATAAAACATTCTGATAAATTATAAAATCCTTACGCAATTTGAATTACCAATCATGACATGACACCTAATTATATCAATAATACATATAAGTTAAAAGGCATATAAGTTAAAAAAAAAAAAATGACACGACCTTCAGATGCATTGAATTGCACATGACATTCATTTATATTCATGCAGAGACTCACATGCATGATTTTTAACCTATTCTCTCCAATTATTTCATTTTAGTAATAAAATAAACAATCCTGCAGAGACTCACATGCAATTTTTTGCATGATTTGGTAGTCAATTATTTCCGATAAAGGTAGAGTTATTGTATATTTTATGGGGTTGAAGAGTGCATCCATTTAGATACTATATATACGGCA